AAGGACAAAAGAAACCACAGACAGCAGAGAACGGGAGAGCTGGACTGTTTTTCAAGGGCAAACCGAAGAAATTATCAGCGGAACCCATCAAGTAAAATATTCTTTAATTGCACGAAGCTATAAACACATTTTTTCTAGTTTATTTCTTACGATTAGTGACCACGAATGGTTACTTCTATGGTGGTTACACTAGAATGTAGGAAAGCGTGCCACAAAGATAGCTAAAAACGTCGCTATCATAGTTTGTCACGGTACGTGTAGTTTGTGTGAAGGTTTTATCCTGTCGATGACTGCACTAGAATACGTGGGTGTATGCACCATACACCCACTGCTATACAGTCGTCCTCGGGGCTCATACAGATCTTGAACACCACACAATCGCGACCGAGGGTAAATCATTTATGCAACATATACAATTATAATAACATTGAGAGTTCGTGAGCAATAGGCAAGCACACAATGAAAAATAAAATGCATAGCATTACACATCAATATTTATAACAGTCATTATCTCTTTATATTTTAACAGGATAAGTTTCAAACCTGATCATAATCCAGCGAAAGAGCGACAAATCAATTTATTATTATAATTATTTAGTACGTATATATACTATACTATTCATAGGAAATATCAGGTTTGGGTATTCCCTTCGTCTCCAACAATTGAAAATTAATGTTAAAAAAAAGAGGATGACAAGTTGTTTCTAAGTCACATATGCGTATAAGAATCCTCTCCCTATGAAAACTCTCCGTATCGCAGCTCTCCTAACAAAGCTCTCTCTATCAAAGCTCTCCCTAACAAAGCTCTCCCTACACCAGCTCCGCCTTCCCCACTCCACCAAGACTCACTACTACAACGTCTTGATCCAACACTCACCCATTCACTGACGCTTAACTTGCACCTTAACCTTCGCTAATATATACATTACAGTTAACAAAAGCCTTCATCACAGCCTCAATACCGGCTCTGTAGGTGCGTTTCTCTTGGCCTTAAATCAAACTAGATTGCCACGCTGCGATTCTCAGGGTCATTAACAAGTGTTCACACAAACTCCTTTTTGTCCCCATTTGAATGCTCATAACAGTACATTCAACTCACTGTTTTAACCTACCCAAACTGTTTCGTTTCTGTGTCATTAACCTGGGCTTTAAATGTGTTCCATTGTCTTCTTCTCGTCCCCCAACCGGCTGGGATATTCGATTTTTAATCCAGCGATTCCAACATTTTTCTGATAGCTTTCCTTTCGCTCCTTGTTATATCACCGTTTGAAACTAGACGAAATCCAAGGGTTAGAGTTGAATAAATGGGGTGAGCGCCTTTCACATGGTGATGAGCTCACTGTTGTGAAGAATGCCGGCCTTTATACACTCACGAGAGGCCAGGCCACGAAGAGCGATGATCTCTGTGGGAAAGTCTTTCCCAGCCCAGCCCGCAGCCCCGGCCTGGGATTGAGGGCTTGATGCTAGATTGCAAAGGATTCGCATACATAGATGGCGGGCTGTGTATGTTGTATGATGAGATGGTGTAGGCCAGACGATGGCTCTTTTGGCTCAAGGCTGTCCTGTGATGCTCAGCTCTGAGGCGAGATGTTTGAGATGGCTTTGTTTTACAAAGCACGCACACTACATATATATATCTATATGTGTGTGTTAGTCTTATGTCAAGGTTCTCCCCCCCCCCCAGGTCGAACTAATAACCCTCTCCAGGATGCAAATCCACAACAATTGACTACCTCCCGGGTATTTACTTACTGCTAGGTGAACAGAGGCATTAGGTGAAAAGAAACGTACCTAACCATTTCTGTCCCGTATAGGATTCGAACCAGTGATTCCCAATTGTCAGTCGGTGCACTCGGCAGTACCGGTGGTGATAATGGTGACCGCGCACACAGTCGAGCAGGAGCAGTATGGGCAGTCACCATCACCACCATCATCACCACTAAGTGCACCAGGACATGAGTGATGCCAGTCTCACCATCACCACCATAATTGTTGCCAGAAACGATGATATTACTGGTAGCACGTGGAGCAGCCACCAGGTGCAGGCCAACGTCTCGGCAACCCCCACCATGTCAACTACCATCTCTACAACTATTCATCAGGGGTCAGATTCACGAAAGCAGTTACGCAAGCACTTACGAACGTGTACATCTTTCCTCGATCATTGACGGCTTTGGTTACATGTATTAAACAGTTTACAAGCATGAAAACTTTCCATTCAACTGTTGTTATTGTTATAAACAGCCTCCTGGTGCTTCGGCGCTCATTAACTGTTTAATAATTGGAAACAAAGCCGCCAAAGATTGAGAAAAGATGTACAGGTTCGTAAGTGTTTGCGTAAGTGATTTCGTGAATCTGGCCCCTGGCATTTACGCGGCCATTTACGAAGCCTGTGCATCTTTCTGCCGGTTTTATTTGCATTTATTAAACGTTCTACGTGCTTAGAAACTTCACAACCCAAGGTTATTATTCTTATAAACAACCTAGAAGTGCTTAGGAGATAAAAAAAAACTTATCAATACGTATAAACAAACCCGCCATGATTTACAGAAGATATACAGGTTTCGTAAATGGTTGATGAATCCTGGCCGAGATCAACCATTAATTATAAGAGCAACTATTGGCTCCAGAGCAGACATTACCATGACAACCTTCGCCATGGTAACACCCCATCACAGTCACGTCAATCATCTCTCAAACGCTCGTCATCTCCCTTTTCCCCTCCTCCCTCCCCCCCCCAAACAACAGAGCTCCCCTCACCAAAGTTACGAATCCAGTTTGCTAAAAATCTGGATAGGAAAAAAACGCACCTGCAATTAATTATCCGAGGGGACTCATTAAGGAGTTTCATGAGGTGGAAAGAGTCGATTAATTAGATTTATTGACTTTCCTCTCAATATATGGAGTAACCTGGAACACAACCCCCCCCCCCCCCCCTACGTGTGTCAACACTCATCTTAGATAAAGAAGTGTGATCATAGGAGACCTATAATCACATCAAATGATGATCATAGGCCTATAATCGCATCAAATGATCAAACGAGCCGGTGCTAGTCTGCGATTTTTTTTTTGTTTACAGCAGATAACAGGCCAACTGGATTTGGATTCATCTAGCACTTAAGTGTCCACTTACGAAGCCTATATAACCTTTCTCAATCGTGGCGGCTTAGACTGTATTATCTCTGCGTGAAATTGTAAGTCTTTATTAGACTTGGCCAATCTCTATCAAAGCAAAAACGCCAGCAGTGAAAATTGTCAGGTATTATCTCATTCTCCGGATCATGTCTGTCACTTGGGTGAAGAGAACACCCGTCACCTGGGTGAAGAGAACACCTGTCACCTGGGTGAAGAGGACACCTGTCACCTGGGTGAAGAGAACACGTGTCACCTGGGTGAATAAAACACCCGTCACCTGGGTGAAGAGAGCACCTGTCACCTGGGTGAATAGAACACCTGTCACCTGGGTGAAGAGAACACCTGTCACCTGGGTGAAGAGAACACCTGTCACCTGGGTGAAGAGAACACCTCTCACCTGGGTGAAGAGAACACCTACCACTGGGGGTTAACACACACAACATACGACCGTATGAATGCCATGTCTTATCCTCTCTGTCCCCCACAAGTAAAAGCGCGACTATAGACATATGTGGGGTTAACACTATATGGGATCACTATAGTTAACAGGAACATACAAGATCAATACACAGGACACTAACATAAATGCTGGAATATCACAACACTCACACTGACACCCACCGTCTCTGCGAGTGTGCAAACACTGTCATCAACACACTAACAGCAGAGCTGACAGTGAAACGCCGCAAGGAGTCCTTCATCACTGATTGAGAAATGATTCTTTACAATTCCAAAATATTCACATATATTTCACCTCCCGCCCGACAAATGGAATCCACTACGCCTTTACTTAACCCTCACACACACACACACACACACACACACACACACACACACACACACACACACACACACACACACACACACACACACACACACACACACACTCACACACACACACACTCACACTCACACACACACACACTCACACTCACACACACACACACACACACACACACACACACACACACACGCACACGCACACACACACACACACACTCACACTCACACTTCACTCGGCACGATCATGGTGTTTTTATAAGAATGTTTATAAAGCAATATTTTGTATTTACGACAGACGAGTTCAGCAAATAGTTTAATACGTGCTAGAAATCATCCCATTTCTCACCTGATCTGCAATAAAATGACTTTTTTAAACAACAGTCCCATAAGGGGAATAGTAATTTAAAAAAAATTGATTTCTATTTAAAATTTGCAATAACATTAGCAACGTTATTATGCTGTTAATATTGCTTAATTAACCTGTAGAAAAATATAAGTAATTCTAAAAATTTGTATTATCTGGTTCCAGAATTATTTGACAGTGTTCCAGACTTATTAGTCGGTGTTCCAGACTTATTAGCCGGTGTTCCAGACTTATTAGTCGGTGTTCCAGACTTATTAGCCGGTGTTCCAAACTTATTAGCCGGTGTTCCAGACTTATTAGCCGGTGTTCCAGACTTATTAGTCGGTGTTCCAGACTTATTAGCCGGTGTTCCAAACTTATTAGCCGGTGTTCCAAACTTATTAGCCGGTGTTCCAGACTTATTAGCCGGTGTTCCAGACTTATTAGTCGGTGTTCCAGACTTATTAGCCGGTGTTCCAAACTTATTAGCCGGTGTTCCAGACTTATTAGCCGGTGTTCCAGACTTATTAGGCACCCTTCCAGACAGATTCCAAGGGGACACTGTTCCAGCTACCCCTCCTCTTAAGGTTTCCTAACGTCAAGAAAACGGTCAATGTAGTGTCCTCTCCTAACCTACCAGAGAACCCAAAACAGAAAACGGGACAGTACGTCACTTTCGCGAGCCGCTTCTATTTTCTAGTACGACAATTTTTGGCTTTATGTAACGCTTACGAGCGAAATGAGACGTTCTTTGTAAGAAGACAGTTTGGGTCCTGACGGATGGAGGACGCGGTTTAAGACCAAAGAATACAGCCTGTAGTATAAGATTGTCACCATGACAGAACAACATACACGGTGTTGTATGAATCATGCTTCCTCTTATCTTGAGGTTATCTTGAGATGATTTCGGGGCTTTAGTGTCCCCGCGGCCCGGTCTTCGACCAGGCCTCCACCCCCAGGAAGCAGCCCGTGACAGCTGACTAACACCCAGGAACCTATTTTACTGCTAGGTAACAGGGGCATAGGGTGAAAGAAACTCTTCCCATTGTTTCTCGCCGGCGCCTGGGATTGAACCCAGGACCACAGGATCACAAGTTCAGCGTGCTATCCGCTCGGCCGACCGGCTCCTAGCCGGTGCTTGACTGATTCTGTGCGACAGAATCTCCCTCTATTTTTTAACTATGATATTTCGCCTGCTTTCAAAAAGGACGATGACATTTTCCACTCTCAAAGCTAAAAAAATTTTCGTCCCACTTTTAGATTTGAGCATGAAAAGATAATTGAATTTCCTGCATACTCTTGTCAAAAGATTATGAGCGAAATTAATTAGCGAGGTTCATCCCGTTCCCAACCCCCAAAAATTGCTTAAATAAACTGGGTATGCAAGTCTGCCTGTTTGGAAGTATATTAGCTGGCTCTCTTCGGTCAAGAATTGATTGCAGCAAAATTTCATTATATGATTTTTCACACAACGGCCAAAAACATTAAAGGTTACAGGAGGAATTTTGAGTTCTAGGTCATTCAGGCTTTAAAGTATACTTCAGCGAACTCAATAAAAATAGTTTACTAACATAATTATATTTATGAAAACTTCAACAAGGTCCATGGTGTGCCTCGGGTTACGCTGAAAGGTAATTATGTTATATATCGTAATTATCTAAAAGAAATTACATTTTCAAGTTAGATCATTGATAATAAAATAATTCTTCAAAAACAGAGTAGTTTAGGCAATTTCTAATTATATGTTAACCTAACAAATATATACTTTTTTATGATTGTCAAAACCGTATATATTGTTAGGTTAGAATGTATTAGCTTAGGCCAGGCAATGTTAGGCTCAATTGGGTTAGGTTTTTAGCTAAGTTTGGCTTGGGTTGGGTTAAGTTAGGCTTGGGTTACGTTAGATAGGGTTTAAAATCCGTCGATGAATCGTTGTGTGAACGTTGTGACTTGTAGCCATGGCAGCCAATCAGGAGGTACCATTTGAGGTGCATATCACGTCCAATCAAAATATGCATATCACGTCTTCTCAGTTTACCCCATAAAACCCATGATATAAATTAAAAAGTTCAAATAATACTCATATTAAACAAAGCCTAATGCTGTTAGTAAAGTGTAATTTTTGATGTTGGCACAGTTATGGTGTACAGTCTACGAAGGTGACACGCATGGGAATGCCTCCTGCATGCACACGCGCGCGCATACATATACAAACATATATATATACAAGGGAAAGAGAGGGTGAGGGAAGAGGGAAGAGGAGGGAGATACATACACAGTTGAGTTTACGAGTTGATTGACAGTTGAGAGGCGGGACCAAAGAGCCGAGGCTCAACCCCACAAGCACAACTAGTTGAGCACATGCGCCCACCCTCTCTCCCTCTCACCCTACCATCTCCCTCTCTACCTCAACCTTGCCTCTCCAATGCTATTGTACCATAAGTGATTTGTCCTGTTATCGCTGATGAGTTCTTCAACGTAAGGTTGTCATTAACGAGGTCGTTAACCAACAATGCGGAATCAACTTGCCTTACATTCTCATTTCGTCCGCGTTACAGCACCAAGGACTGGGAAACTGGTCCGCGTTACAGCACCAAGGACTGGGAAACTGGGCCGCGTTACAGCACCAAGGACTGGGAAACTGGGCCGCGTTACAGCACCAAGGACTGGGAAACTGGTCCGTGTTACAGCACCAAGGACTGGGAAACTGGGCCGCGTTACAGCACCAAGGACTGGGAAACTGGGCCGCGTTACAGCACCAAGGACTGGGAAACTGGTCCGCGTTACAGCACCAAGGACTGGGAAACTGGGCCGCGTTACAGCACCAAGGACTGGGAAACTGGGCCGCGTTACAGCACCAAGGACTGGGAAACTGGTCCGCGTTACAGCACCAAGGACTGGGAAACTGGACCGCGTTACAGCACCAAGGACTGGGAAACTGGGCCGCGTTACAGCACCAAGGACTGGGAAACTGGTCCGCGTTACAGCACCAAGGACTGGGAAACTGGGCCGCGTTACAGCACCAAGGACTGGGAAACTGGGCCGCGTTACAGCACCAAGGACTGGGAAACTGGTCCGCGTTACAGCACCAAGGACTGGGAAACTGGGCCGCGTTACAGCACCAAGGACTGGGAAACTGGGCCGCGTTACAGCACCAAGGACTGGGAAACTGGTCCGCGTTACAGCACCAAGGACTGGGAAACTGGTCCGCGTTACAGCACCAAGGACTGGGAAACTGGGCCGCGTTACAGCACCAAGGACTGGGAAACTGGGCCGCGTTACAGCACCAAGGACTGGGAAACTGGGCCGCGTTACAGCACCAAGGACTGGGAAACTGGTCCGCGTTACAGCACCAAGGACTGGGAAACTGGGCCGCGTTACAGCACCAAGGACTGGGAAACTGGGCCGCGTTACAGCACCAAGGAGGAGGAATTAATAATCTTTCGAATACTCTCCTATTTGTGCTTTCAGGGTGATATTAAGCTCTGGGGTCCCGGCTTTTGAGGCGAGATTTAGCTTTTGGGGTCAGACCTTTCAAATTTTTTTAATGAGGCATAAGTCATGTTATCAACATGCGTACTCTAGAAATTATGGATGGGTTATCCTGGAGGGCTTCGTCATTAGGCTCCCTGTAGCGTGTTCACCTCTCTCACGCACAAAACTGATTTCTTACATTATAACAGCTTTTAACCCGGGCCCTCTCGTCCTTGTGTGTGTGTACTTACCTAATTGCCTAATTGTACTTACCTAATTGTGCTTGCGGGGGTTGAGCTCTGGCTCTTTGGTCCCGCCTCTCAACCGTCAATCAACTGGTGTACAGATTCCTGAGCCTATTGGGCTCTATCATATCTACATTTGAAACTGTGAATGGAGTCAGCCTCCACCACATCACTTCCTAATGCATTCCATTTGCTAACTACTCTGACACTGAAAAAGTTCTTTCTAACGTCTCTGTGGCTCATTTGGGTACTCAGCTTCCACCTGTGTCCCCTTGTTCGCGTCCCACCAGTGTTGAAAAGTTCGTCCTTGTTTACCCGGTCGATTCCCCTGAGGATTTTGTAGGTTGTGATCATGTCCCCCCTTACTCTTCTGTCTTCCAGTGTCGTGAGGTGCATTTCCCGCAGCCTTTCCTCATAACTCATGCCTCTTAGTTCTGGGACTAGTCTAGTAGCATACCTTTGGACTTTTTCCAGCTTCGTCTTGTGCTTGACAAGGTACGGGCTCCATGCTGGGGCCGCATACTCCAGGATTGGTCTTACATATGTGGTGTACAAGATTCTGAATGATTCCTTACACAGGTTCCTGAACGCCGTTCTGATGTTAGCCAGCCTCGCATATGCCGCAGACGTTATTCTCTTTATGTGGGCTTCAGGAGACAGGTTTGGTGTGATATCAACTCCTAGATCTTTCTCTCTGTCTGTTTCATTAAGTACTTCATCTCCTATTCTGTATCCTGTGCCTGGCCTCCTGTTTCCACTGCCTAGTTTCATTACTTTGCATTTACTCGGGTTGAACTTCAACAGCCATTTGTTGGACCATTCACTCAGTCTATCCAGGTCATCTTGTAGCCTCCTACTATCATCCTCTGTTTCAATCCTCCTCATAATTTTTGCATCGTCGGCAAACATTGAGAGGAACGAATCTATACCCTCTGGGAGATCATTTACATATACCAGAAACAGTATAGGTCCAAGGACTGACCCCTGCGGGACTCCACTTGTGACGTCTCGCCAATCTGAGACCTCACCCCTCACACAGACTCGTTGTCTCCTGTTGCTTAGGTATTCCTCTATCCACCGGAGTACCTTCCCTCTCACTCCAGCCTGCATCTCCAACTTTCGCACTAGCCTCTTGTGTGGCACTGTATCAAAGGCTTTCTGACAATCCAAAAATATGCAGTCTGCCCACCCTTCTCTTTCTTGCCTTATTTTTGTTGCCTGGTCGTAGAATTCAAGTAACCCTGTGAGGCAGGACCTGCCATCCCTGAACCCATGTTGATGCTGTGTTACAAAGTTCCTTCGCTCCAGATGCTCCACTAGTTTTTTTCGCACAATCTTCTCCATCAGCTTGCATGGTATGCAGGTTAGGGACACTGGCCTGTAGTTCAGTGCCTCCTGTCTATCCCCTTTCTTGTATATCGGGACTACGTTAGCTGCTTTCCAAGTATCTGGCAGTTCCCCTGTTGCCAGTGATTTGTTATACACTATGGAGAGTGGTAGGCTCAGTTCTCTTGCTCCTTCCTTTAGAACAAAAGGGGAGATTCCATCTGGGCCTATAGCCTTCGTCACGTCCAACTCTAGTAAACACTTCCTTACTTCCCCACTGGTAATCTCAAACTCTTCCAGTGGTTCCTGGTTAGCTATTCCCTCACTTACCTCTGGAATTTCTCCTTGTTCTAAGGTGAAGACCTCCTGGAATTTCTTATTCAATTCCTCACACACTTCCTTGTCAATTGTAGTGAATCCTTCCGCCCCTATCCTTAATCTCATAACCTGTTCCTTTACTGTTGTTTTTCTCCTAATGTGGCTATGCAACAATTTAGGCTGAGTCTTTGCCTTGCTTGCGATGTCATTTTCGTATTGTCTTTCTGCCTCTCTCCTCATCCTGACATATTCATTCCTGGCATTCTGGTATCTTTCTCTGCTCTCCAGTGTCCTGTTATTCCTATAGTTTCTCCATGCCCTTTTACTTTGCTGCTTAGCTAGCCTACATCTTTGATTAAACCATGGGTTTCTCATCTTCATTTCTCTGTTTTCCTTTTGGACTGGGACAAACTTGTTTGCTGTGTGTGTGTGTGTGTGTGTGTGTGTGTGTGTGTGTGTGTGTGTGTGACACAAATAACCAGTATGCGTTTTGAAACCTTCATATCAATACTGATATTTACCACGATGATACCGAAACAAAATGCAGCAAAATAACAAAAACAAATAAAATGTTTTAAAAACAAAACAAAACAAAACAACTAGTGTTTTCTTCCTCTGCCATTGTACCCCCTTCCCCTTCCCCTAACCCTGACAAACCGACTGCCTCGCACCCCCTGTACCCTTATTAACCCCTTTCGAAAAAAATATCAAAACAACTCCAACAAAAAAGTATACGAATATATATATTGAGGGGGTGAACCACCTCTGGTTGCGTTTGTAGGGACCCTTGACCTCGAAAAAGAGGATATGTTGCATCCGGGGAGCCTTGTGGGGCACCCGCGTGCACTCACATATTGTCATTTCTTACCACCCCTTATATATATATTGCGTACTGTATTTCGTCATTTTGAGTTAAAACTATATATATCTTAAAATTGAGAATATATAAAACTTAAAGGTAAGAATATATAGAGCAACATAATGGCCTGCACACACTAAAGCCGCCAGTTCTACAATGAAATGCTTAAGTCCAAATGCGTTAACACAATATATTTATCCAGTCTCTTAAAACCAGTTGAAAGAAACCCGTTTTTTTTTTATCCCCCCGGCCGAAAATAGAAAGTGAAATATATAATTCCCAGTGGAGCGAGAAAACAGATCAGCTTCGTGATTCCAACTTTGGGAATCTGTGAGGGCGAGAATTCCAAGTGAAATCATGAGAGATAACATGAGGGTGGGATGGTTAGTCAATTACTGGGAGAGGAGAGGAGAGGAGTGGTGATAAGAAGAGAAGAGAAGAGAGGAGAGGAGTAGAGGCAGAAGCTGAGAGGAAAGGGTAAATTATAGACTGAGGAAGTTTAAAATGAAGAGCAAAAGTAACAATAGACAGTTACTGCCCTGTGCCAGGTAAGTCCACTGCGGGCTCACCATAGCCCGTGCTACTTGCCCCGCTCCTGTGCCAGGTAAGTCCACTACGGGCTCACCATAGCCCATGCTACTTTTTGCCGAGTAGCTGAATCTAAAACAACAACGTAACAATAGAAATATGTCCCGGTAGTGGTGGTACTGGGAGATATAGGGTAGTTGCAGTGGGTAGATGATGAACTAGTGGGAAGTAGTAACGGTGGTGATGGCAGGGAGAAGATGCTAAGAGGACATTTCCCGTCAGAGATGAGTGTGCTGGAAATAAATGTTACGAGGGCACTGGAAACTATTAAAGGAGCATTGAAAACGTTATCAAAATGTTGGAGATATTATGTAAACATGGACGAGTCTACCAATAGTAAGAACATGGGAGAGATTTCCCCATGTAAAGGATAGTACAGTGATGTATAAGAAATATTACTGAAGTATGGGGCAGAGAATGACAATTTTGGAAAGAATAATACATAAGAGGTTACGCTACAGCAGACACAAGGGTACAACAAATATTAGGGTTGTGACTAGTGATTAAGTTGACCAAACCACACACTAGAAAGTGAAGGGACGACAACGTTTCGGTCCGTCTTGGACCATTCTCAAATCAATTGTGATATGTGACTTGAACCATATGATCAAGTCTCACAATCGACTTGAGAATAGTCCAGGACGGACCGAAACGTCGTCGTCCCTTCACTTTCTAGAGCGTGGTTTGGTCAACATATTTCAGCCACGTTATTGTGACTCCTCGTCTGCGAGTAGTGATTAGTTTCAGCCGAGACTAGGCTACAGAAAGCGCCGCTTGACTTTACCAAAGACATGGAGAAGCTGTATTAATCAGACGATACAAAGATCCATAAAATGGTAACAATATCGAAGAACTTAAAGGAATATATAGAGAAATCTAGATCTCAAGTAGACTACGACTTAAAAGACTAACTTGTTAAGCTGGATCTCCATGACTGGATTTCCAGCGGATAGTTACACTAGAACGTCGCCCGACAGTTGCTAACTGAACACTGAAACTCTGGAATTAAATTGGCAACCAAAATTGGCGGAGCCAGAAACCTGATTTCTGGCTCCGCACTTCTGAACCTCTAGGTCTGGGGCCCTTAACGTGGGATATCCATACCCTTTGGGGCCATGGGAACCAATTACTGCGGGTATAGTAATAGCATTGAACAATAAACAAATATTTATTAGATCAGAATGATCACAGTCAGTAACTGTATCTCGTTTCAATGTTTTGGCTGCACAAAAAACAACAATAAAGTGTCACGTGTTGCAGTTAGCTTGTGTATTTGTAATTTGCCATTTTTCTACTTTATAAAATGTTAAAATTCTACTTTTAAAATGTATAAAATTCATGTAAACTTTTTATATCTATACATCTATATCTATAAAATGTTAAAATTGAGCTGTTTTGTTCCTAGTTATCCATATGTTCAGTAAAACCAAGCTACTGACATCTTTTGAGGTCATACTGGTAGCTAACAGTACTGATGGTGATGACTGCCTGGCGAATGGAGCATGGGAGCATAATGGGTAACTCACAAGGGGTCTCTAATCATACAAATGTCATGAACCCATGCCCCAGGAGTAGCTGGCTGGGAGCCTACTAGTATGACACCTCACTTCTCAGCCTGTAGGGCGAGCTAAGGGCTGAACTATCCCGGCGACAGATTCACGAAGCAGTTACGCAAGTACTTACGAACGTGTACA